TCGTCGTAAAGCTGCATTTGTATTTGGATTTATACCAACGACGTTGGCACGCAGCATGTCCATCGCAAACCTAACTAAGTGCGATCTTGATTAATATTGATGGCATCGATCGCCTCCTGCTTCGCTGCATCGAGCATCGCCCCGTTTCCTGCTTCTGGTTGGGTGATGTAGTTACGCTCCTGCGCTTTCGTTTTCGACTACGCTCACCGCAAGTATGTAAAGTTGAAACCATGGGCCCCTAGTATGGGCCCTTAACCCTGGGATCCTTGTACACCTGTACCTTTAATGAGACCCTAAGGAGGCCTACGGGTCCAGGTTGGGGGCACATACAGAAAGTGCGATTTGTCCCAAAACCGGTTATGGTTCTGTACTCTGTGCACTATGCCTGATCAGATCATCGGGTTTGCCATTGCGAACGCTTCGCTGCCGCACACGCTGGACATGAACGGGTTTGCCTCACACCAACTTCTGCCGCCAGCAAATACCTACCTCCCGACGCTGCCCCTACTGCCTACTGCCGCACCCCGATAGTTTGCCTGACCTCCATGCCAACTTTCACACCGCAAAACTGTGCGAAGGCTGAGGGATCGCAGCATACATTCACCGATGGATCCCGATTTTTCGGCGATCTGCCGGCGCTTTGGGTTGCTACTCCCACTGTGCTTTGGTCCGGCTCAGCATAGGTGGTCAAAACAACGCAACCATCTGCAGGATCTCAGGGCGCAGCATCAGCTAGACGATCTTCGGGTGCAACTATGCCTTCCCATCTAGCACATTGGTTGCGATCTTGATAGGCTGTAGCGCCTTCTGGCTTTTGTGCCGCCTGCTCACGCTCAATGCGGCTAGTCGGTACTGTCGCATGTCCATGTCTCTCGCCTCATGCACTGCAGTCCGCCGTGCACGAGCCCCTCAACCGTTAAATGCATGTGCGCGGATATACATATATATATTTTATTTATTTATTGATGTGTATATATATATATATGTGTGTGTGTGATTATTTATATAAATATATATATATATATGTGTGTGTGTGTATGTATGTATGTATGTATGTATGTCTGTCTGTCTGTCTGTCTGTCTGTCTGTATGTATGTATGTATATATGTATGTATACATACATTTAGATAGAGAGCATGTGCATGTGTATATGCTTGGTTTTCAATAAATACCAAACCAAGCCAAGCCGTTCGAAAATCAGAACTCTTGTAAACAGAACCACTGCTACCCGTGGTTTGACATAAAACATGACAATGACTGACATAATTGAGGCGTGATCTAACCAGAGAGCCCTTCCTTAAGACAAAAACCTTGCGAAAAAAAGAAAAGATGGTGTAACAGAGATAAGTAATGTGAGTGGTTAAACTACTCACACGTCTTTTCCTTCCCTGCAGTCACACATCGTTGTCTTCCCTATACTCACTCGAACGGCGTAAGAACTCCAAAACCACCAGGTTCGCATGAAACACGCTTCCGTCAGCCCATAAGCAACACTCACACAACACCTTCCGAAACCTAAGAATACCAGCAAAATGGAGGAGGCATGCCAATGCTAGCGGGTGTCCAAGCGCGCTTCGCGCCCTCCCTGGCCACTCCGGCAAGGCCAAGAGTGGCTAAGAGAGCGGCCTCGGGGGTCAGAGAGGTTTGCGGAGAGGGATCTACGAGAAAGATGGGTAGTTCCATGCAAGCCCCTGGCTCTAGTTCTGGAGGCTCCCCAAATGAGGGGAAGAATGAGGATCATGATTAACTAGAGGCTAGCTACTATGGTGAATGACTGTGCTACTGGTAGTCATAGAAAGGGCTTCACCAACCTAACAGCCAGTTTTTGAGACCTTGCCATGTTGTACCGCACCTGTAGCAACGAGCATCTCAACCAATATTGATCACAATGAACCACATTAGCAACGATGACTGCCTGCAGCAACAGGGAGGGCATAAGCATTATTCAGTACTCCCAGCACATGCAAGCAAGCAGCGATCCAATGACATGCCTGCATCCTCTTCGCTGGCTGGTGGGACGTCTGAAGAGAGGCCCCGAAGTAACTTGTGCTGATGGCTGCGAGCAAGGCCGGGCAGTGAGTTCAGTAACATGCAGCTTCTGTTTGCTTCAAGAAGCGCCGGCCTCAATGCATGAGGACATGGTCAGGTCGTCGACCTGCACTGGATTGTCGCTTGCGCATCAGCTTGGTAACAGGCTTGTTTTCGAATCTTGCAGGCCCCGGGCTGCCTAGACTCTTACACTCCACTCAACGAGTGCAGATGATACACACTGCGGGACTGTGGGCACCGGCGTCAAAGACCACGCACATCTTGGAGTCAACTCGAGGCAATTGGGGAGATGCCTGGCCGGCACAACTGTGCTTGTGCGTTTGAAAACTCTTGTGGCGCAAGCGTGTCCTCTCGGAACAAACAACAGGCCCAAAGCCCTTCTACACAATGGCTCATTTCTGCAAGTTCTGGGCTCCGTCTGCGAGTCAACCATCCCTGCATCCCAAGCTGCAAACCGAAAATGGCGTGCTGATGAATCCACTTTTCGGGTGCGTTGTCGGGTCTCTCTCGGCGCCTCATCGCTCCACGACCTTACAAGATGCGCGGAGTGGGGTGGCTCAAAACACGGTTTGTTCTTCGCCGGTTCCTCTGAGGAGTATCTGTAGATGCTGAATTAAGCAAATGCTGTGGTAGCAATTTGCCCAGAGCGACACTCTTGACGTCAGTACTCCAGAAAGCAATTCAATCTCGAACAGCCCGGACTGAGGCTATTGCTCGAATGAAGCCGCTGTCCAGCCCAACTCCATGTGTGTTTCGGACCTTGCTTTGAGCAGCTTGTTTTCGTCATGGCAATTCTTTCGCAACAACATCTTCGTTTTGCAGGTTCTGCTAGCACATTTGTTAACCAGAGCTGGGTGAGTGCAGCAGGAGGGGAATGGAGGGGAAGTGCGGGCCAGTGATTCCGGATGCTCGATGAAGCTGCAGAATGCCAAAATTGAAAAATCCAGACCGACTTTTCCGGTTTGTCCAAGCATAGTCCTTTTCGCTTCCGCAAGTCCTCAAGATGGAGTCCATCCGGGAATCTTCCAGGCTTTCCACAAGTTAACGGTTAACACCCGCAGCCCATGTCTATGACGTGACATCTCCGATCACAGTTCCGGTTTGCTCGCTGCCACAGCCGCAACTATGAAGCTCAGTGCACCCTTGACAAACACCGACTCAACCTCGGATGAAAGAGCGCCCTAAAGCCTCTCTCTCTCTCTCTCACAGGTGCTCGAAGCGTCAGACCTGTTGATCGGAAACCTAAAGCCTAAACTCTCAATCCTAATATCCTTTTATAGATCTTCTAGTCGCCATGTTATCAACCCTATGTATCCAGAACCTCAGTTCCCAACCCACAAACACCCAAAAGCGTAACAGAATCGCGGGAGCATCACAGCGAATCTTGAAGTCCGAGGTCCCGAAATCGTCTCAAACATTGGCCCTGTATAATCCCACAGCACCAAATGTCAAGAACCCTAAAGTGCCCGACTCAGTAAGTGGAGTATAAACCCACATCGCCACAAATAGGATATAATAGGATGATTAGGTCCTCCTCCTCCCAACCCACGGATAACTGAATAAGCTTCTCGACTCGTCCCCGGATCCTGCGAGGAGAAACCTGGGCAACCATATACACCCTCAGGTTATACGGGTCGAGGGCCCAGGTTCGCCCTTCAGGTACCTGTCTGACACCAGACCCATCAATCAGGGCATCCGGCCCGTGGTACCCGCGGCTGCGGCCTTGTACTAGGGGAGCCACGGCCTTGGCAATGTCTGAGGAGGCCGAGGGCGGTTTGGTGTAGAGGCTTTGGGTTTGGCGTTTTGGGGGTGCAGGGTATCGAAGAAGGTGGATCCGCACATGCGATCCAAGCAGCTTTAACAAAGGCCTTCGCTCAGGCTTTTGGATGGGGTTCGACCCTTTCGCTCGGCAGGAAAGCCTTTTTACAGCAGGCCTCGTACACAGCAGCCCGGTCCCTGCCTAAATCCGGCACCTGAAGTCTGCAAGCAAGCCTCTACGTAAACCCTACGCCACTATGCAACTCAAATCCGAAGAAATCGACATGCGAATGGCTCTTTTCTTCTTCGCATCGAAGGGCATCAGCCGTGAGACCGAAGAAAAAGATGAGCCTACACCCCAAGTCCTGAACACCGAAGTTTGAGGGGATGCAATGAGACTCAAACAGGGGCCTTTAGGCCCTTTAATTTAAGTGCACCCAAATTTCGACATAAACATAACGTACATGTATGGAAGCTTGAGAAAAAAGGGAACGTATCTGGTCTAGAGTCTAGAGTCTAGAGATGGGATTCTGATTCTAAAGACGATTTTCACCGCACGTGTGGCTAACAAATCTCAGAACGCAAAGCCAGGCAGGTGCGAAATCGGAGCTGATGTCGGTGTCGCAGGCGTCATTGATGGAAGCCACAGGCAAACTCTACAATCACCTGAGATTTTGGCTCCAGACACCAGACTACCAGCTACAGTACCGCGCCTCTCATCTTACAAACTGCGAGAGGACCACCTGAACCACAGCGCCGCCTGTTGCTGCATCCAAACCGCATGGCTGGCTGTGGCCCAGGAGAGACATCTCGGTGCTTTGAGACCAGAGACTCCCCAAAGCAGATTGTTGCGCTGTTCTCAATTGGAGAAATGATGGCCGAGGTGACAGCGCTGGTGGGCCGAGAGCCCGTCCTTGACATCCAAGTCGCGAGCTACCTGAGGCATTGTTGGGTGCTCATAAACCACACAGCTTTTACCAGGTAAACAACGCCGAAAGCAACAAAACTTGTAGAAGAAATCCAGCGGCGAACGCGGAGCTGCCGGTCAGAATAGTTCCATCCGGGATCTGCCCGCCCAAGAGATGCTTCTGTGCTGGCATGGTGAATTGCGGCACTTCGCCCGGCACTGCAGCCGCCGAGCACGGCGGAAAGTTGAGACTGACTTCGCACTCCAGATCAAGACAACATAAGGATCAGTCCACTGCTTCGCCTTTGTGGCAGGCACTGACTGCCGCGTTCAGGGAGATCAGGTTCGTTGCCACCTCTCATGAAAGCCGACCGAGGTGGAGATGTCGCTCCGGGTTTAACCCCAAGGGCCGGCTAACACCCGAACTCAATCTACATCGCCGCCGAAAACTCGCATGGCACCCACTTGGGCACCCCTGGTGCTAAAATGGTCGGTGGGAGAACTTCAGCAAAATCCCCGCACCTCAACCAGTACGACACAGGGCCTTGAGGACCTTGTGCCAATACTACTATAGGGTTTCGGGTAGCCCCACTTAAAGCCTTCAAACCTCGGCCCCCAAGCCGCTGGCGCCTTGAGGGCCTCGGCTGTGCCCAGAAGGTCCAGGGCATGTCGCCATTCCCCGGGCTTTTCCTGGGAACGATTTCCGGTTGGGGCGAGGAGGTTTGGATTTTAGGGCCGTGTCACCAACTATTCGGCGTTGTTGCCTCCCGTCTCGCTAGATCTGAGATCTGCACTAGCGGGTGTTGATGCCGGCTTTACCAAGGGAGGGCGAAACAGGCAAGTGCACATGCCCCGAGCGTTTGGTGCAACTACCGTCGGGGCACCTAGGTCAGCCATGGAGCCAGCGCAGTGCAGGACACAGGTTCGAGGTGTAGCATATTTGAGACTAAGCCCTGTTGTCATCCCTAAACTCTAAACTCTAGTGCCCTAGTACAGAAATGCGAACCGTTTGAAGACTGTGCAGCCACTCCGAGATCCTCAACCCTATTCAATGTGCAGCTCAGGCACACAAGCACTGAGAGTAGCGCTGAAGGTCACCACATCAGACTGAACCTTGCACGTGGGATTTGTGCTGGACTTCTTTTCTATCGAAAGCCTTAATGCCCCCACTTCCCCCATACGGCCCAGGTGCATGTTCACAGGAAGCCAATGCAAGAAGCTGAAGGGCGGATACCCACTCCACCTGCGGTGGGGAAAGGGGTTGTGGGATGGCTTGTTACCACTACTACTGGTATCAGAGTGTAGCGCCAAGGATCAAGATATCATAACTACCAGACTAATCTGACTGCTTCCTGTTGTTGAGAATTCGTTACAGATAGTGCGTGAATAGTCCAGATCCCCAGAAAAATGACATGATTCGGGCTGAAAACCGAAAACACTAAACCCCAGGCCCTGACTGCACAGCCTGGGAACACTGCCTAGACGGCGCGTGAGGGCTCCCGCTTCATGTGGTCTAGTTTATAATGTAGTATATACTATACTATCATAGTACATTAGAACTCTTTATAGTATACTAAACTATCATAGTACAGTATCCCTCTTATAGTATATAATATACTGTGACTATTTTGATTTGTATTTTGATAGTACATTATGCCCTTTGGCTCATAGGGCTTGGAGTTCTGGGCCAGGCGTTTCAGGTTCGCACATCCGGATTTCCGAGGGCGCAGTGCTCTAACATTCTACGGTTTAGGGCTTTCGGGCTTGAACTAGCCTGACGGAGTTGACTTGGCGTTGGAGCTTCGGAGACCACCAGAAACCAGCGCTCACAAAGAGCAGCAAATATTACCGGACTCCACTTCTGGCACTTCAAACCCGAAAGTTGCCGTACGTTCGGGTGCCGCCCTGAAAACAGGACACTACAACTTCGCAGAACTAAACCGAACCCAAGCGACGTCAACGAGAATCCTCTAATTACACTCTGATATTGCCCCCTGATGCCCCAAAACTTTCCACTTCATGAAACGTGTGCATGCCTGCCTCCGACTTCTCACAAGCGCTGATGGCTGCGTTGAACAAGTACACCTGAAGTAGGGTTTCTGTTGCTGCTCTGGTTTCATGAGCATTGGGCTTATTGTTTAGTCACGGGCGTTCAAGTTTGGCTCAGAGCAAAATCACTACTCTTGCCCAGGAGCCTGCTTCTTACAATCACCAAACCCTAATCTGAACCCTAACTCCTGTGCAACAGTATTGTGGTTGTCGGGTATGCCAAAGCTTAAGGGAGTTTGGGGGATTTCCCTCGTGTCAGTTGGTGCACTCACTTCCTCACGGAAACTTAAGGCTAATTGGCTAAGTTTTTCTCTCGGGTTTAACTACCCGTTCTGATACTCTTGAAGCGGGACTCTTGCATACCTGACTGCTCGTTGGGACCCTATGAACACTGCAGGGCTACGGCTATGGGCTTGCCGGGAAATATTTCATCGGGAGCTCGTGAATTCAAGAAAACTCAATGGATGGAAACAACCTCTTTGCGTAGCAATGCTGGTGAGCAGCTTAACATACTGTTGGCATTGTTCGCTCTCACTACTCGTACATAATTCAAACTGCAAATTGCCGTCTGCCGCATGACAAAACATATAAAGTCAAGACTGCTGCTGCTGCCGCTGCTGCTGCTGCTGCTGCTGCTGGTGCTGCTGCTGCTGCTACTACAGCGCCGAGAAACGGCAAAGAATCTTTATGTGGCGATTAGCAGAAACCCGCAGAGAAAGGGACCGTGGTTAGTGCTTGCCAGTCAGGTAACTTTGATCTTTACAGATTAGCTATCGGGCGAGTGATTACAATATATCAAAAAAACTAAGATTACACGCTGGACACCTATAAAAATAGGCCAAAAAAGGTGAGGGCGACCCACTGGCACCAAATACTATAGAAGCCGACAACGTTTTACTCGTCGGTTTGTTAGTTTTCGGAGTTTCTAGAGGTAAACTAACAAAAACTATATCAAGGAATCCCAAGGAAGAATCTTACTACGTTGCAGGGTCCCGGAAGGGATGTTTGACTCATCAGGACCAATCTCAAACCCAATAAACCCTTCAAAAAAATCGTGTAAAGCATTCATACAAATTCTTCTAACGTCTAACAACCTATGAAGCCTGTATACAACAAAACCTACGCAAGACCCTTGCATGTTAAGGGTATTCGGTGGGAGATGTGACCTCCAGGCCTCCGAGTCTGCCTTGCTTGTGCCGGTGTCGTAGCGTCGCCTTGTCACCACGAGGCCCAGGGCTCTCCTGGGCTATTTAAGTTGTTTACCATTGCGGCAAAAACAATACAATTACTAGTAGTCATGAAATAATATAACATGCTTTATTACCCCCAGGTATCTGCCACTGGGCAGACTTTTCACAGGCGCTGGCCACTGGGCTCAGAACGATGGTGCTGGGCTGCATATTCTGCAGATGCGCAGCTTGCAGAAGTTGCAATGCCGGCTGCCACCGCCATCCTTTCTCTGTGGATGAGACTAAAGCACCGGTGCCACGAAGATCCGTCTGCATGCGACATGCATTCATCCCGGCGGCCACTGCTAAGGCACGAAGCCACGGACCCTTCGCAACCGCAGCGCTGGGAAGCTGCCTATTCAGCTCAGGAGCTTCCTGGTGCAGAAACAGGGCGTCTTGCCATTGCTCAGCACTGCTCAGCGCGCCCACGGCGGCGTTCAAGGCGATCGCATCCAGCTCCACCTCCCTTCTTGCCCGGGCCAGCAGGGTCCACACTCGCTCCCAAGGGCCACCCGAGGTGTTCAGAGCCGCACTGCATGTCACGGCGTCAAGGCGCAGGCCGCTGCTGGCCATGTCGCCCAGCAGATGCAAGCCCTGCTCCCACAGATCCTCTTTTGCAGATGCGGACATCACCGAATTGAAGCTGATGGCATTTGCGGAGACTTTCCTCTGCCACATAACACGCAAGATCTGCCAGGCAAGCTGCCACATGCCGGCCGATCCGCATGCATCCAAGACTATGTTGTAAGAGACTTGATCGAGCTCAATCTTGTCTTCCACCATGTCCTCCAGCCTGAGGCGTGGGATGAGCCACACGTCTTCACTGGGAAAACCGTTTTCCATGAAAACGGAAACCAAAATCCGAAATGCTGTGTCCCCTCTGGCAACCCGAGTTCCCAATAGCACGTGCGAATATGCATCTTACTATCAGGGTCAAAATATTTTTGACGAGGGGCCTCTCCGAGCCCAACCTGAAGACCAAGGAAAACCCTTATTCAGGAACTGTATAAGTACAAGAAGATCATTCGAAGGAGCAGCCCTAAAAATTGTAGGGTTTCTCGTGCGAGGGTAGGAAGACCCGTCCAGGTACACCCCAACCCCTAAACCCATTTTTGCACGAGGTCTCTGTGAAGTGCCCTGCCCCACCAAGAGCCAGATCTACGGACGTCAACCAGTCCAACCCTTTTTGCATCCGGCCTGCAGCGACTCTACCGGGAAAGACTTGTATCCGCACTTTGGACAACAGCCACGCCTATCGAATGAAGAACTCATAGGGAAAACCCTAATCCCCTAACTCCTTCGTTGCTCAGGCGCACATCGACAGCCCTCTGCCAACACAATCCGTTGCCGTAGGCGGACAACAGGGCATTATGGGTCATCCTCGGCTGGGGCTTCGGAACTGAGTCTCCTTGTAGTGGGATCTACGGCTCTGCATGGGAAGTGACGCGGTGTTGAAAAGGCCATAAAGCGGTTCCACTCCTTTTGTATTTCAAATTTCCGCATTTAGGGCCTGTTGTAGTCTATGGGGGAGATTCCTCCAACAAACTGATTGAAAAACTCACAGTCGCGGGGACCCCGAAAGCCACCACGACCTCGAAAAACACGACGACTGAAGGCTCGCGGAATGTCGGGTGCTACTTGCTGGCTTCGACGATCTCGCGTTCTGAGTGTTGCCCAAGGTCAGAGCTTGACGGCTCGAGGCCCTCAGACAGTATGAGCCCCACATACTGCTTTGAGCTGCTGGCATATGCCCCCCGCCTTTGGCTGGGTACAAGTAGAATCTGAAATCCTATATAATCCTATGACCTGTCTAGGGGCCTTAAGATGTAGAATGGGTTGGTGAGCTATGTTCCAGTGCCATTATTAGGGCCATTATATAGAGGACTGCGAGAGGGTGTTGCGAGGGATCCGTCGGGCCTCCAAGTAAATTTGGCCTGTCGATGCCAGAGTCACCTGGACCTTTTTGCTCCAAGCGTCGCAGTGGGCTCCACTGCCATTGAGCGCCCTTCAGTCAATAGCTGAGCAGCTTGAGCCCAACGTCCAGCAGCTGCACAGCAAGCGATCGCTGCCGTCAGGCTGACCACTGTCATTGGCAATCTTTTCCTTGAAGCCGTCTCCAATATGGCACTGTGCAACAGCAGCTTAAACAAACCTAGCACGATTCCTTGGAGCTGTTGTAGACGAGCACAATTTGTCACTAAGATTTCTGCAGCCACGGCGTCAACGCAAGCTCCCCAAGCACCGATAGCCCTGTCCTTGGTCCGTTTTGAGAAGGCAAGAACAAGAATTCCGTTCCTTTCAATAATCCATGAAGAAACCCAAGTCGCAAAAAGTATGAAAGGATCTCTGAGGCCCAAAATCCTCGACCCCCAACCCTAACGCCTAAACCCCAAAACCGAGTCTCTGCCACATCAAAGCCTTAGAGCAGCCCGTGATCGCCGTGTTGAAGGAGATCGGGCTGGCGCGAAGGGTTGAGGAGAACCTGAGTTTAGGGCGGTTTAGGTTAAAGCTTTTTCCCCCTCCTACTTCGCAAGGACGAGCCCGCATTGCAGGGTGCGTTCAGACCTGCGGCATGTGCACAGCAGAAACAGGGCACGACTGGAACAACACAAGTTTAGGATTTTGGGTTTGGCCCTTTCCCGTTGGGCTTAGGGTTTAGGGCATGGGGCTTAGAGTCTGGGGCTTACGTTCTCTAGGGTTTAGTGTACACCGTGTCGCTTCAGACAATATGTGTGCATAACCTAGGCCCAAAACTCTCTGAAGGAGAGGAATCAAACGAACAGTTAGCTCTTGTAACTTCCAAAACTGCTGGCCTGTTGCAGTGACCTTTGAACACATGAACAAATCAACCCTAAAACTTTCAACCTTAAACCCTGTAAATCTTGCACCCTCAACCGTTTTAGCCCCAAGGGAAACCTGAAACCAACCGTAGGCCCTTCTTATGAGCTCTCAGAGCAGCCACGGCACAACTCCTGCAAGATCTGAAGCGACGACTGCCACCTACCGGCACGGAAGTCATGAAACCTGTCACCTCCGAGGGCTTCGCAAGGTTCACCCGTCTAGTGGCTAGTGGGGTTTTTAAGCCCGAAAGCTTCAGACCCGATAAACCCTGGCCCTAAGCCCTCTGTCGTCTTTAAACTATGGAAAAGCCGGGTCAGTTACATTGAAGCCTCTGGGCTCCAATGAAGCCTAAACACATGGAAACCTAAGCCTCGAATCCGAATCTCCACGCCCAAAACCTAACCCCAAACCCAACGCGACTGAAGCCCAAACCCTTAACCCCCAAACCTAAACCCGTTAACCCTTTTTTCGCATCAGGACCACAACACGCATCGCCCATGCCATCCCCAAACCCCTACATCCCCTGAACCCCTGAACCACCCCTCAATCAAGGATGCCACCTCAAGGCAGCGCCCGCCACATCTTCGGCCGTGTTGTAGGAGATCTCGGTCAAGCGGATTGATTTTCGGCCTCCAAAGGCTGTAGGGTTCAAGGTCTCCCTTGAGGGATCTATACGGGCTTATCTGCAGGGGTCCTTTAAGGGAGCTAAAGGGGTGTTATATCAGGGCTTAGGGTGTTGGGGTCTACAGCTGGAGAGCTAAATGCTCTTAGGCTTGGGTCAGGCTGGTGGGATTTGGCGCTTTCTTTCAATTCAGGGTTCCGCTTGAGTAAGTATGCTGTTGATAGGAAAACTGCAGCTACTGGACAGGGATTCCTGTGAGATCTGCAGCGACATAACGTCTCTAATCAACCCGGGGCAGGCTTCACAGCTTGCTGGAGTGCCTCGGCGCCGCTTTGGTTTCGTGCTAAAGGGTGCGAGGTTGCATTGAAACCTTTGCAGCACATGTGGAATACTGGTGTATCGATCCTTACCAGTTGCAGTTTGCATAGTTTTGACATCTACCATGTGTAGAATATTTGAGTAGCGTCAGTACTACTCTCAGCAACCTCCACCCGAATCCTACCCTACACGTGTCCGGCGGACGAACTACCTTCCTGGATCCATGGCCTCCTCCGAGCATAAGAAAAATAAACCCTGGCGGCCCAAGCCTTATACAAGCTGAACCCCGAAAGGTAGCAGCCATGTTGGTTATTACATTCTATAAAGGGCGGTAGGGTACTGTATTCTCCTCTTTGCGAGAGCCAAGCGTTGAAGCTCCTGCGTACAAAACTCTTGAGGCTTAGAGTCTCAGAGCCTGCGCCAGCAAGGAGTGCAAGCGCTTTGGCCCAGAGGCTCAGGCAGTTGCAAGCGCCAAGAGCTGCGTTGCGAGAGACAGAGTCTTCAAGGAAACCCTGCTCACACATAGATGCAGTCCTCAAACGCTGGGGGCTCCAGGTGACGCTTCGGGGCTCAGGTCGTGCAGCTTGGTTCAAGTCGGAGTCGCATGCTCCGTGGATGGGGATGGTGTCAGTATCTCGTCTGCAAAAATTAGCATTCGCAAATTTTCGTTGTCGAAGTATACAAACACATTCCTTGGCGATTCTATGCTACAGGTTATGCTATTCTCATCACATGCGGAAGGCTCTGTCAAAAGATGTCGCCAAGCAGCGACGCGACGGCCAGCTGCCACTGACGCCCTCTCTCAAAGGCTGTTGTTACGATGTTGCACGTGACGACCTGGGTCCAGGTGTGCCGCACTCTGCTCACACGACTCAGCCTAATACATCCCTTGCCGAGTGCCGAGGCCAGAACGCTAATCTCCACGGCACCAGTCCGAACTCCACGCAGCAGTTCGAGCGCACCCAGCCAGGACCTCTTCCTGCCGCAACCGGACATGCAGCATGTCCACGTCACGACACCTCGGCGGCTTTGTGCAATCCTCTTAGACTCAGACTTGAGAATGGCTACTGGGGATCGAGATCCTCCAGCAGGGTCCCCTGCGAGGATGCCCACTCTTGAAGCCTTACATATATTGGCTCACCAGGGCCTTGCGGGGGTCTAGGGTATCATAGAAGGCAGTTAGGGGTCCGCGTGAGAGATAAGAATTATGATTGAGATTATTTATGTTCTGCTTGTTGCTATTCATTATCATTGCTCGTTGCTACTATTTTGACATTTTGTGCTTGATGAGAAGTATGTCTAACCGTGAGTCCCAGACGCTGGGGCGCGTCGCATCCGATGATATGGCGCTGACCGTGCTCAGGGCCTGGATCCAAGCTGTAGACCTTTCAGGGTCCTTTTTCCCACCCGCTTTCAGGGTCTTTAGGATGCAGGGTTTAGGGTATTAGGGTTTGAGGTTTAAGGTGGGGGGAATCCGACTTAAGCCTTTAGGGTCTGTAGGCTTTTAGTACGAGGGTGTAGGATTTTGGGTGTCGGGCTGGCATAGCGTGTTTTTGTAAGGGTTATGTACTAAGGGGATAAGGGAGCCCCTAAACACCTTGATACACCTTGATACCTAGAGCCCGCACATCCTTCAAGCCCAGTATGCCAAATACCCTAAACCCTCAACGGCCTACATAACCTCACAAAAACCGCGCCTGATTCGCAGTAGTCGCAAAACCTAACCTATTGTTAATATATTTTCTGTACAGTTTTTACTTGTTGTATGACTTGTAGAAAGGCGAAAGCCAGGACCTCTCACAAGCGTTGAGCGCATCGTTCACAGCGGCGATTCGCGCATTCGGCCAAGGCCGCGCATCCTGCGACAGCCGTTTAGGTTGTGTGTTACGGTTTAAGCCTTTTTTCCCCTCTCGCATGGGTTTAAGCCTTTGGGTTTAGGGGTTTGGCGCTTGGGGGTTTAGGGGCTTAGGGCTTAGGGCTACGGAGGAGATTTGTCGCAATAGGGATTTGTAATACAGTATTTGCAGGGGTTTCGTGTTGTTGGAAGCCCTTGTTGCATCCGGGGAACCATGACATCATGAACACCCTAGAAATTCGGCATCAATCCTGCAACCCTGCGCCCTGCAGGCATCTTCGGGTTTTGGCTTCAAGACGGAGGGGTTTCGGCTTGCTTTGTTTCCTTTTTGAAGGCCTTCTTGTGTAACTTATGTAGGGGTTGAGAACCTAGGGGCTTGAGGGTTTTGGGGGGGCTTAGGCTGTTCCTTTAAGGGTTGTATGCTGAACTAGGGTGTGGGGTTTGAGGGTTTGGGGCTTTAGGGTTTCAGGGTTCGTTTGGGACAGGTCCATGGCCCAGGAGTGATAGGTAATGGAGGAGCATCAGTAGAATAGTCTTCCTTGCACTAAAGTCCTTAACATAATTTATGTACACTACCCGGACGCCCTAATCATTCGAATTGTTATGGCCCCTGAATTAGAGTTTTCGGTGGTTTGTGGGAGTGTCGCGTGGCAGCACTTTACTGGTTAAAGTCACTGTCTACACGGTCGGTTCAGGGCTTTGGGTTGCATGTTTGGTGTTGCAGGTTTTTTGGGTTCTGGGAAGCCCTCAGCGTCCTCCAAAAGCCGCAAGGCAGACTCCCATCGGCACTCCTACCACAGCACGAACATGTTGCGGCGGAGGGCCTAGGGTTTGGGCTTTGGGTTTAGGGCTCTTTTAGTTTCGAACTCTTACTCGCACTAGGCAGGCAAGGGCTGTTGGGGCTTAGGGTTCACGGCATGGGATCTACGTAAACCAGAGCACGAAGTGCAAAACAGCCCGACGCCTTCTTGCAGATCGCCACTGACAATGCCACCTGCGAACAGCACTGTGCACTTCTGGTCCGTTGCTCTCCTAAAAGACCATCGCGAAGCCAAGGCTTCCAAACCTTACTGTAGCGGTCCCTTTCTGAAGGCAGCCGATGACGTGGTACCACAGGAAAATGAAAAAAAAAATTGAAGACAGGAATCTTCAGTTTTAATCCTTGCAAACTACCCGAGGAGTCCCAGTAACCTGGTTAAACTCAGCATCCATTTGGATGACCTGTTCTGGAAATTGTTGAGCCAAGGTCAAAGTGATGAAAACCTGCACCCTGATACAAAAGCCTGAACGTTTCATAGCCTGGCATTGAAATTCAGCATCTGTGTATCGTGATTACAATGTGTGCCACTTGAACCCGATTCCTGCACCCAAACCGAATATGGGGGTTTCAGAAATTACATACCCTATACATGGGTTCTATATAGCAGGATCCTCTCGAAATGACAATGACAATGGCGGAGCCACGAACCTCGTTTCAGAAATACCCCCCCCCCGTCCACCCGCCTATCAAAAAACAACTGCACGACACATGCAGCACCCTACAAAGGACGCTTGCATCAACCGTCTTACATCGGGCACCTTAAAATACAAGGGAAGTGAGCCAAGGTGTTTAGACGATCGCCCTAGGCCCTCTTCGGCATTTTGAACCCAAAACTCTGCCTTTCGATGGTCGCAAGTGCCCCGCTCCATGCGGCCTCAATGCGCTGTGCCAGGCAATGCGGGGCTTCGACTTCAGAGCTTACGAGGTTTAGGGCTTAAGGGCTTAAGGGTTTAAGGGTTTAGGGCTTAAGGGTTTAGTATAGAGCTCAGCCATGGAGGTTCACCTTTTCGAGCTCAGGGTCTTTTACATACACTTGCCGTCGTTTAAACGGAGCCAGCGCCGGATCCAAGTGCCAGCACAAAGTCGCCACCAACAAGGCATCGAAAAGCAGAGGTCGACGAGCAAGATTCGTAATCACACTTGACATAACCATTCATAACCATCGACATGGTTTCAAATCAGCTCTTTGTGATCAGAACAGCAGCGAGCAAGATCAGGAGAACCTAGTTCGCACTCATTGCGAGGACCGCTTTTTGAGATATTCGTACGAACGGCTTCCACACACTGAACATTACATAAGCCCTCACCCAATGCCTAACCCGTAACATCCTAGTCCTACACCATGAACCCTAGATCCCAAATCCCAAGCCTCAAACAATCCTACAACCAAAACACCCTAAAGCCTGAAAAGCAAAATCTTAAACTGCCACAGCCCAAACCCTGCAAACCTTAAAGTCAGCCCAACCTTCATGGCTTTGTCGCGGCGAAGCCGCGGCCAGCCCTTCCCCATCGTCGCACTGCAACTAAATGTTCAATATTTTGGGGTTGCGGGATTCATTTGAGGAGTCTGTAGCCATAGAGTCATAGGGCTTATAAGGTTTCCAACGGGGGCGTAGGGCTTTGGGGTTTAGAGCCTGGTAAGGGGAAATGCCACGGCAAACTTACTCAGGGGTCCTTATAGTGAGGATCATACGACTAAGGATTATGGGCCCAAGCATACCCCAAGGAAGCAACCACAGTCATGTTAAACGGTGTTAACAAGAAGAGCATCGGTCACAACCACAACATTAGCAACATGAGGCACGCTGGCGGCGACGGCAACATGACAAGGCCAACGATACGTCACATGTTCTGAACTGTCCAACCAATGCTTTCAAGCACGTAAGAGCCATCGTGGTCGCGGCAATAACAGTGTAGCACCAACCCTAAACCACTGATTGCACTAAGTCGTTCAGACAAAACAATGTGGACAATCGAACGAGAATCATATAACAAGTATAGATGCTGCGGCTGGTACTGGCACTCCTCCCTGAATCACTGAAGCCGCTAAACACAAAATCAGCAAGATTTTATGGGTTTTAGGACGCTTGTGCTTTAGGGCTCTTGAATTCTCGCCTCGGGCTTTCGAGGATCAGCTCAAGGCAGAAAATCTCGGAGTTCAAACCAGTTTGAGCATTGGCTAAACTCGAAATCCTAGCTTGAACTGTACACCAAACACAGTTTCACCCAATCCGAAATACTGAAGTCGCAAATCATAACAGCTCAATCTCAGGTGACCCTTTCTTGCCACTAGGTTCCTGGCACAAGAACGTATGCCGGCTTTCACGGTTAACGTAATCCTAAACCCTGAGCCTTCCCTGGCAAGCCTGAACCCTGATACTTGTCCAGTTTCTTAGGGGAAACAAAGGGGTGATCCTTGGCGATTATGTGGGCATTGCCTAGTTTCCAATGACCACGCACACCACGGAAAGTTACCACTTCAGCTCGGCCTTCTGCGCTCCTCCGTGAACCCGTGAACCGCTAGCTTTGTAGAGTCTAGTATAGCTTCCGAGGATCAAGGCTTGTCATCTGCACCACACCACATTGTTCAGGGTGTAGGGTTTCGGGTAGAGAGTAGGGTAGGATGACTACGGGCGGGAGGAGGGGGTACAAGGATTCCAAAAGGGCTCTTCGCCGCAATGCCCATCTAAGGATTATAGTACCCCCCAAAGAAGTAAAGCCTATTTTCTCTTAGCTCGAATACCACGAGCTGTCAAACCCAGCCCTTGAGCCCAAGCTCTTCTTTGAACCGGATGCTGCGAGCGGATCCGGTTGGGCCCCCTCTGCCTTCGTAACCAGGACATCCTTTCCGCTAGGACTGTGTTATATTCAAGCTGCAACTAGGCTTTAGGGCATAGGGCTTCTCCGTAGCTCCCATCTTTGGATGGCCATCTGAAGGCTTAGATTCTAAGCCTCGGGCCAACTCTGGACTGTCACAGATAGGAAGCTATTCCAGGACCTCTCAATAGGGACCCTGCTTGATGGAGGGGTCCATGTAGCTGGGCTCCGAGTTCTCGACCTCTTTGCCAACGAAGCCGCCGACCTTTGGCGGCACCGGAGCGGGCGGGATGTTGTACCTCGGCTGAACTTCAAACCCTTGATGGAAAATGTGCCCACTTTCGGGTAGCACTCCAGCTGAAGCGATACCACCCCAAGCCCACATTCCGAGACACTTCTGGGCTGCGTTCTTGAGCACCGCGCCGTAGTAGACGATGCAGAAGCCGCAGAAAGCCCAGGCCAACGGCTCGATGCCGTAGAAAACATCGAAGTACTCCTTGCCTTGCTCTTTCGGGCGTTAGGGTGTACCTTCATGGGCTGTGGGATTTCTGAAGTCTGTCTCTAAACCCTCTACTTGCTTCTGTCACGGATATGGTACAAAACACCGAGAGAATCCCAGACAAGAGGCCGCAAAAGAGGTGGTCTTGGATTCTGTTAGTAAAAACACATCAGACTTTCTCATAGTTTTGCAAACAAAAAGAAAAGTCAAAGCCCCGACTCCGAACTCCGAACCGGGCGGCCCTTGTAGACGAATGCCTCAGCCCCGGCTGGGATGGTCCTGAGATTTGGCTTCTAGATCGCGCTGTGTTCAAGGTTTAGGGGTGCAGAATTCTTGGCTCAGGCTCGTTGGGCTGTTCGGGGTTAGGAGTCTTTGGGTTTGGGCGGCTACCATGAAGCGAGGAGAGAATCGACCGGCGGCGATGCACACCGGATCTGTTTTTGTAATCCCCCCCCATCTCTCTCTCGTCGTCTGTCGGGCCCCACGAGCCTCCTCCCCACGGGGCTACCAAGCTGCACAATCTCCTAAACCAGAAATCTAACCCGAAAAGCCCTCCGCGACATTCGGAACGCCATGTATTTGCGCTTGGGATCTGGGCCTGAGTGGCACAGACTCCTCCTCCGAGGGCCTGCAGGAACCAATGATCCTAAGACAGAAGCCTGCCTGTCCAGTTTGGTAAGTCAGCTAAAGGTCAACCTTTGTGGCTTGCTGTCCATCTATCTATCAACCTATCCACCTACCCGTCTTTCTATCTATCCCTCTACCTGACCTATCTATCTATCTATTCATCGATCTATCAATCTATCGATCTATCTATCTACCTATCTATCTACGTGCGTGCCTACCTATGTCTACCTACCTATCCGTCTGCCTATCCATCCATCCATCCATCTCAGTGAGAGAGAGAGAGGGAGCGAGAGAGAGAGAGAGAGAGCAAGAGCGAGAGCGATATAATTTCTGATAATATATAGTATATAATATACAATATATAGTATATAGTATATAATATATAATAATATATATATATATATATATATATATTATATGTATATATAAAACATATAATATATGAGAGCCAGAGCGAGAACCCCCAAGCTCTCTTTTTGGCCCGGGAGTCGCCAGGGTGGCCGCGCCAGCAGCCGCTGCGAGACGGTCGCTGCGCGGGGCAGTGGGCACGAACGCCGGGGCCATGAGGCAACCTTTGCATAACTTGAGGGGCCTTGATAATTAGAATAGGCCTAGGGGGTATACTATACTTTATTTTCATGAAGGCACTCCCAAAATAGTATAGGTAATTATTAAGGCTCCTATATGAACCCATGGTTTCTTTCTTTTGTATGTTTGATCTGTTTTTTTGCTTTCTTTCTTTTCTGAACCACCCTATTCCAGTCGCCAGGAGTCTCACGAACGAAAAAGGGGGGTCCTGCTGGGCGTTTGGATCCGCGGCCAGAGTGGACTTGCCTGAAACATCCTGTTGGACTAGGACTTCCCTGACAACCAAGGGCACGTGTACCTGACACACCGGCCAACGATCCCCATGGGTTTAGGGTTCAGGGTAACTTCTATGAGCTTGCTTGGGGCCTAGATTTTCGGGCTTCAAAGCCTTTTCAGCACGAAATTCTGTGGCAGTGTGTCTGTTGGGGCTTGGGGGGCCCCGCCTTAAGGATTTGGACTGGGCTTGGGGAGAACTCGACTGCGCACTGATTTCATGCCTTCCTGGAAGGCCTATTCGGCAGTATCTTGGGCACGCCCGCTGAGGCTACTAGCCTGTGCTTTCTCGAACAATCCATCCAAGCAGCCGAAGGCGACAGCCAAAAGGCACACCTGGGCTGCTCTTGGCCTTTGAAGCACAACCCCTACACAAATCTTCAGACCATACGCCCACGTAAACGGAAACCATTGCAATCAATAGGCGCCTCCTGGGATTCTCACCCAGGTGGCCAAGCAGCTCATCAAGAAATTCATATGATATGATATGTTACAGAATATATAAACTTCAGATCATATATTACATAAATTACATATTACAGAACAGATAAATTTTAGATCATGTATTACATGTTATGTTCCTCTCCGGGATTCCAAGGCACCGAGAGAAGGCGCGCCATGTTCGGAGCAGGCGTGGAGCAAGAGGGACCGGTCCAAAAAATCTGATGAGCCCAACTCTGCAATGGGTGGCATGCCAGTTGCTCTTAGGATTCTTAGGGGTTTACAGCTTCCTGTCAGGGTATTGAGTCTTACAGCCCTGAGGAGAACACTACTGAATGCAGCGATTTGACTTGAAAGGACAGCAGAACCCGCTCGTCGGGTTCTGTGAGGCGTGGCCCGCGCACACGGCGAACTTCTGAAAGGCAAACGGAACAAAGCCTTCGATCCGGCTCCGCCACAAGCTCTCTATTGCCAGGTCGTCGTTGTTTCCACTATCATGCCCGCTGATGCACGGAATCTTGAACCACCTCATTCAGTCGCGGAGAATGCATGTTTTGCACCCCCTGTATTTAGTGGACATGTTATGAAAGTCGAAAGCCCTCAAACCCAGAAGCATGAAACCCTGTAGGCTTGAGCGTTAAGCTAACCTCAGCACCGCGCTTTCTGGCTGGTAGAAGGCCGCAAACTGTCGGCCTCCTGTAGCCTCGCCTCAATCCAGCGCTATGTCTGTCTGCTTTTTTCAGCAAAGATCCTTATCAGGGGGGATCCTGCAGTTGTTAATCTACATTACGGGTGCTTCTTTCTTTTCTTGGGGAGGGGCTGCGGTGCACATGTCCTCATGCCTTCTCTCTGAAACTTCCATTTTGAATGTGCTAAGACTCATCTGACTGCGTAGCTGTTGCCTGCGCCCTCTGAGTGCCAAGCTCAGGGCGGCAAGTGACCGCGGGTAACCCTGAGGCCTCGGGTAGCCATACGTAATAAAGTAGCATGACCTTACTCTTCGAGGGAGGCGGGAGTTGGTCGAAATCGGCAGGCGGTTTCCCGAGCCCATAGATAGGTTTATGGGCTTCTGCTCAGGGCCCAGGCATATTCTGCGCATTGTGTTCTTCATTCTTCTGCTTGGGGTACGGCACGTGGCTGGGTCTCGTCACGAAACTCCGGAAACTATATCTGCTGAAGCATGCACATAATCCTGGGACGAGAAACCAAACTCCAAAGAAGGAATGGTTGATGAAGCCGTGCAGAACAGCAGTACTGTAAACTCCCATGGCGTGTTGTTACGAGCTTTGGCAGTAGTATGTGAAGCTCCCAAACCTCCAAACCAGTCTTGAAGCCTTATAAACCCTAAACCAACCTCCCGCAACACCAGTGTTCTTTCAGCATTCTATGGCAGCAAGGGCTTACTTTACTTCCATGGCGTGTTGCGCCAAGGGTTCCCGTGGCCTTTGTTATTCGGGTGCTGAAAGGCTAGTTTTTTTCATAGCCCAGTGCACATAGGTTGCTTCGGGATTTGTAGAGACTAAGAGTCTTTTTAAGGTTTCGGCGTTGCAAGCGTGGGCTTACAGGTGGGGCTGCTTGCAACAGGATGGGTTCAGTGCACTTGCGTGATATTACGCCCCCCCATGCACAACAGATACCCACACGATCACTCTCAAGTCTAGAAGCCCACCCCAGTACCCCGCTGCCTGAACACTTAACTAATTTAACTATATTCTACTGAACTCCCAAAGGCCTTAACCAAAAACCCAGAATCCAAAACAACAAACCTCCTCTTGTTTTGCTTGGGAGAGAAAAGCAACGGCGGTGCCGGGTGAAATCGAAACGGCCACACTGAGCGGACCAGCTCCTGATTTTACCCTGCGACCTATGGGGCTTTTCAGAGGGAGTTCGAAGACCTTCTGTGAACTTCTTGGTAGGGCATCTAATTGGTTTCGGGAAGTTGTTTTAAAGCTTTTGGGAGTTGAAGGTCTTGGGCTAGAAGGTTGAAGGCTCCAGGCTGAGGGCTCAAGGGGTTTAGGGCTTGTAGGCTCTAAGTATCAGTAGTGAGGGTACCGGGGCCTAGGGTTTGGGGTACAGGTACAGAGGAAACAACCTCTACCGGATACTCTGGAAGTTTGATCCGCTACGGCTTCTCAGCCTTCTTCACCACAGGATCCGATTTCGGCCAAAACCTGAGATGTGGGATGGGAGTGGTGGATGCTTCAGTGGTTTGGAGCTTTGCGTAGGTGGGTTCTAAGGTTTAGGGTGTTAGGGCTTCGGGTCCAGGGCAGGCACATACACGAACACACACACACACAAATAATAGTAGTAATAATAATAATAATACAAGCACGCATACATGCGTGTACACGCACATGGACTAAACAAATGAAACTTTTTGATGGGAAATGCCGGTGAACCCTCCAAGCCGTGTTTTTGAACCCGGAGCTCTATCCCCTCCTCAAGCCCTGAACGCTAGACATCCCTGGACATCACTGGACTCCCCTAGACCCTGGACCCTAAGACCCTCCACCGCACTCTGTGCGCTTTCCCGCCGGACCCGAGGAACGCGTAGAGCGCGACGCTGACCGTGGAGAGGCCGTAGCCCAAAAGGGCCAACAGACCGAGATCTCTCTGCGCCTTCGGTTCTGGTTTCGACTCTCACTCTCGCACAAGGCAGGCAAGGCTCCACACAATTCACAATTCCGTCACGCCAGAGAAGCCCAGGACCGCACGAATGACACCGAGAAGGTTTAGGATTTGAGGGTGCAGGGTTCAGGATTTAGGGTTTAGGGCTTATACAGGAAGGGGTGGCTCTTAACATTCTTTAGGGGAACCATATTTGCTCCGTGTAAGAGCCCCTACTCTCCTCGGAAATGCTCAAGTGATTCGGCTCTGAGGAATCGAAACGGAAAACCCTTAAGCCCCAAAGCTACAGCGAGCAAAGTTAACGGCCTCTTGGAAGGTCCGGACCAAACCCTGGTTGCCTCAAGCTCGGCCCGTGAAACACTTTGGTCTTAATCTCCGCATGTCCTTCCACTATGCCCAGACCGCACCTAAACTTATTCAACTTGAACTCGACCGGAGGCTTGGT